TCAGAAAAGGAGTTGGCACAAGAGAAGCACTTTATAGCTTAACTGTCCTACTTCAGAAATGCACAGATTAGCAAAAATATGTCTTCCTATGCTTGATAGATTACCAGAAAGCGTTCGATTGTGTTAATCATTCAAAATAAGTAAGATTGCTCCAGGAATGTTCGATAGATGAGAATGACTTTAAAATCATGAAGAACCTTTAGAAGTATTTAGAAGACTACTTAAAATTTCCTAAACAAATCACACAACAAATTTCGAAGTATTAAATTGAAGGGGCAGAGAACGAGAATTCCTGCCAATAATAAAAAATAGAAAAACTGCTTATTTGGGTCATATATTTCGAAATTCCAAGTACCAGTTCTTAAAGTTTATTATAGAAGGGAAGATAGAAGGAAAACGGGGCATTAAGAAACAGTCACGGCTTAAAAACATAAGGGATTGGACAAACCTCGATGCTCATGCACTCTTTAGAGTCACACAGATCGAGAGGAGTATGGCAGAATTGTCGCCAACATCCACTACTTAGATAGGGCACCATATGAAGAAGATCGATCGACAACAAGGTGCTGATATACAAAGTTAAAATAAAACCCGCTTGTCCGTATGGTTCGAAGCTCTGGACATCAGCTAGCAAATCTTATGTTATGAAAATAAAAAGGTTTCAATCTAAAACTCTAAGAACAATCGCTAATGCCCCTTGGTATATCCAAAAGAACGCCTCGCATAGAGACCTGCAGGTACTAACTGTCTCTAAAGAGCGCAAAAGAATTGCTGAATAATATTAAAACAGGTTGCGCGTGCTTCCTAGAAAGCAAGCAAAGAGATTGAAGCGATATGATCCCTTGGACCTACCAAACCGTTTCTGACAGTACCTACAGTAGTGGAAGCTACGCCACAACGTCCAGCCATTGTAATCTGCGCCACTTTTAGTATTCGCGTTCGCGTATCTGTGTATGTGCGCATCCCACCGGTAAATAAGCCAATATTTGTGTTCTGATGCTTTAATCACTGGATCCCTCATCTCTCTGACATTATAAAGAGAAACAATTTGTCTCAATGCCTCAACTAACAACCTCGTTCATCATCCTCACAGCTATTGTTCAGAACAATGTCCTTTATACAAAGGTTCCTCTCTTACAGATATTGCGCATCCACCAAAAATGTACTTCTCTCTCTAACACACGCAATTCCCTATATCTATAGTCGTACGAACCTCACACTCCTACTACTTAATGATAAACTATAACGCCCTCTCGTGTGGACTAGCGTCACCATCACGCTCAGCATGATCGTAAACTGTAACGACATCTACGTCACACGTTCTCTCTCTTACACATATTTGGCGCATCCACCAAAAATGTACTTCTCTCTAAAGATCGATTCAAACACATCAGTCCCGTCACTGTCTCGCCGCCGAACCGGTCCTGTTTGGTCACAGAACTATTAATTTTCTGACAGATGGGAAACTGTTCGTCAACTGATGAATGTGAATGCCGGCGCCATATTTCTATTAAAGAATATTTTGTATGACGGATTGTTCGGTTCAGCGCCAGGACTGTGACGAGACGTGACTGATGTGTCTGAATCGACCTTTACACACACAATTTTCTTAACGTCGCAAATGCCGATCAACTAAGTACTTTAGATGGGTTGAGTACGTTTTTATAAGTAAAAACAATTGGCAAATAAGTGGTCTAGATTTTTTCTGCAAGATTTAAAAAAAATTATTTTTTTTTAATTTGAATTTAGATTACTAGTAGATCGATATTAAATCAATTTTAATGAAATTCAGAGCAAAATTTTACTCTGTTAAAAAGATTTTATAGACGAATTATAAAGGTTCTCTGTGTAATCTAAGTGGTTAAAAAACACTGAATAACAAAAGCTTCGTTAGTAATAAATTAAAACATTTTGAACCAGCTCTATCTTAGAAAATTTAAATGTCGCTATTTTATTTCATTGACTTTGCTCCAAAATGAACTGCTTTAAAGTTATAAGCGAGAAAAGTAGAAAACAAATCTATATTTTCAGTAATTTTTAAATATTTTAATATTTTTATTAATATTCCCGATCTAGTTGAGAGAGAGGATGAGTCAAATATTATAACTGAAGTTATCACCTAAATATTTATGAAAACATCAGAATGCCACCTCCCACATCCAAATTTGGTCGATTTTTTACAGATTTGCCCTGGTCTATACAAATAATACCATAATAAGCTCCCCTATATTAATTATGAATATAAATACACTTACTTAAACATGGTCTGAACAGCCACAATGGTATTACAATCCGACAGCGAATCCTCTTCTGCGGAATTCGACAGCTCCTTGTTCACAACCACGACATTTTCTGCTAGGGTTATGCCAGCTCTAAGTAGGTCGTCTAAGCTGAAAACGATTCAACGGTTGAACATCGCATTTACATGATAACAGTATGTTCGGTGGACGGGGGAACGAGAGAAATGTTTTATTACAAATTGAGATTGGAGTATGTTTTATTAGCTCTAAAACAAGATTCTGGTCGTCTCTGTGGTGTGAAGCTATAAAATTTTACTGTAGTAGATTTTGATAAAAAGTTAATGTAATCTCGATGAAAATAAAAGTGAGAAGACATAAAGAGAGTTATACCAACGAAAAATCGCTAGTGAAATCATTTTATATACTTGTTTATAATCAAAAAAATAAAATTTTAAAATTAAAACTTTATCGAAAGCTTAAAAACCCTTTGTAAATTCTTCTTCTTTACGGGCCATCTCCTGTCCATGATATCTTCAGGATTTTTCTATACACCCACACTTCAAATGCTTCCAACTGTTTAGTAGTCACGTTAAGTGTCTTCTTCTTCTTTGGGTGCCGTGTCCGTATTCAGACGTTGGCCATCATCATGTTTACAATTTCTTGAAACCTTGCTCTGTCGGCTGCTGCGCGAAATAATTCTTTTACGTTAAGTGTCCATGCTTCTATCCCGTAAAGAAGAGTCGAAAAAAAAATTGTTGATTAACTCCTTTTCTCCTTTAACCGCCCCCCTCCTTTTCTTCAGTCATTTCCTTTACTTTTATTCTCATTAAGTCTCTTAGGAACCCAGCCTCTGAAATTTTAAATTCAATCACATAGGTTACTACTTTAATTTCTTCAGCCTGTAGATTTCTATTTTACTAAACTTAATTTTAGTAATTTTTTCACCATAGGAGCAGTCTTAAATAAAGTCATTTAAATATGAGGTCTAATATTAGCTTCAAATATTTGTTATTTAATTTTTACCTTGTCCTAGATGTGATAAACATAAAAGGATAATTTTCATATATATATAAGCTAATCCAACATAAAATACACTTCTAGACCACATTCCATATGACAAAAAGCAACATAAGTTGCCTAAGACACAGGTCATTCTATTAATCATGACTATAAAACCATCATTGATTTCACATCTTTTATACCCTAAATTAATAAATAAAAAAGTTTCTTAAATCCCAACACCTAGATTGCTGTTATTTTTTAAAATCATCAAAACTTGTTGAATCTTTTGGCTGTAGTAATACTATGTACAACTAATATAGTTTTTTGTTACATTGACATTTTGTTTTCGACATCGTTCATAAGTATCTTGTCAATCAGTTCCCAGCTGTTCTCCGCGTGTAGAGGTTCTCTCACCGGCTCTGGAACTCGCTTCAACCATGTGTTACCTCTAGCCAAATTTAATTTAATACTGAACATCACAGTTCTTTTACAACACAATGTATAATCTTTTATAACTAAATGTAATTGAAAGGGTTTTTACCCTAGTATTTTGGTAGCTTAGGCATTGTGACCTAGTAAGTATAACTATCTTTTGCTTTTCAACCATAGTCAAAATTTCATAATCACGTTTGTTTTAACTAAATGGTTTATACTTATTTTTAGGCATTTTTTCGATTTTAAAACCTGATGATGGACTGTGTGGTCCGAAAACGTTTGTTTTATTGATGTAGCCGTTTTAAGGGTTTTTTAAATAAATATACCTATTTACGAAGACTAACCTCTTTTTTGTGATACGTTTTATACAGCCAGCTACAGGAATTTTTCCTTGTGGATTTTGAAAAAATATAACACCTTGCCAGCCTAACTCTCAAAACTAATTTTAGTCCTCTTGCCAAAGTACCTTTATCATTTTCTTTAAGTTTGTTCGTGCTTTCTCTATCCGAACTTTGATTTCTTTGGAGTATTCGTTTGTGTGATTAATTATTGTACCAAGATAAGTGTTTTACTGTTAATTGTCAGGCTTTCATTATTATTGTGAGTTTTTGATATTCTCATAAATTTAGTTATTATTGTTTATTGATAATCCATATTTTTCTCCATACTCACCTATCTTGTCCATTAGCTTCTTAAGGTTTTAGAGGTTGTCTGCTATTATGATAGTATCGTCCGCATATCTAATGTTATTAATTGGTGTTCCATTGACCCTTATTCCTGCTGTTTCTTCCTCAAGAAGTCTTTTTATAAATTCTTCAGAGTATGCATTGAATAGTAGTTTCGACAATACACACCTCCGTCGTACTCCTCTTTTAATTGCGAAGTCTTCTAATGTGTGTTCATTAACGCGTATGTGTGCCTGCTGTTTATAAGATAGATTTGTTATAATTCAAAGAACATTGTATTGTATTTGTTTTGCTTTGAGGACGTACATCAACCCTTTGTGGGGGACTTTATCGAAAGCCTTGTTGTAATCTATAAAACAGACAAACATATCCAAATTAGGTTTCTTCAATATCCATATCAAGTATTCGGTAAATGCGCTTATGGGTGATCTTCAAAAACATTTTAAGTGTGTGAGATATCAGGCTTATGGTGCGGTGATCGGTGCATTCTCTAGCATTTTTCTTTTTTGGGAGACAAATAAATGTTGAGGAGGTCAACCATTCATTGTATATGTCACCTGACTGGTACCCGAGGACATTAATGTACTCGTTTTCTATTATTTTAAGGATATCATTCTTTGTTTTGGCAGCAACTGACTTTTGGGGAATGTGTCCCCTTCTTTTCTTACAGGTAATCCCTGTGAAGTTCGAATATAGATTTGCCACTACCAATACATACAATTCGGAATCCTTAGATTTTTTTTCTATATCAACTTTTTCACTATTCACGAGTTCATCATCCAACGTCCGATCGTTGCTATATTTACCTTTCATTTCTATACTCAGCACACCTGTGTTTATAAACTTTGTATAAATATCTTCTAAAACATCGCTTAAAATTCTACTTTAAAATCATTCAAACTGAATAATTCCCTTTTAGTTGGTATTCAAATTATTTTCTGTGAGACAATTTAGCAGAAAACAGGCCTTTTGGTGTATACAACAGTTTATTTTGGATGGTACTGCTTTGATATTTATAAATATTAAATCCAAACAATTATCTGCCAATAATGACGGAATGGAAAAAACATTTTGAAGAATTATTAAATGGTAAGGAGGACCACGAAGCAGTAAACAACTGGACAGTTGGAAAAGATGCGATAGTTGAAAGGCAGCCTACAGAGGAGGAGGTGGTGACAGTAATAAAAGAAATGAAAAATAACAGAAGTCCTGGTAAAAATGACATATGCATAGAAATGATCAAATGAACAACTACAAAGAAAAATATATCAACTACTAGTGCAAATATGGGAAAAGGAAGTAATGCCATCGGAGTGGTATGAGGCCCGCATATGCCCTCTGCATAAAAAAGGAGACAAACCAAAGTGTGACAACTATAGAGGTATAGACTTATTAGATACGGTATACAAAATCTTGACAAGAATATTGAGAAATAAACTAAATTGCTACACGGAAAGAATCCTGCATGAATATCAGGCCGGCTTTAGAAAGGACAGATCTAATGTAGACCAAATCTTCTCATTAAAAGAGATACAAACGACTTGTTGTGAAGGTACAGTTTTCCTGCATGTTTTGTTTGTGGATTTTAGACAAGCATATGATAGAGTCGATAGAGTCAAAATGTATCGAGCAATGGAACATTTGGGTATACTAAAGAAACTAATCCGACTAGTTAAAATAACACTTAATAAATCTACGTGTGAAATTGCTTGGCAGGGTCACATATCAGATCAATTTACGGTTGCAAAAGGCTTAAGACAGGGAGATCCTTTATCCACTACATTATTAAACTTAGTATTAGAAACTGTAATCAAAAAATGCAGCATGAAGGTGGAAGAAACGATCATGACAAATGAGCACCAGTGCTTGGCATTTTCTGATGATCTAACGATCCTAGCAAAAACCGAGAAAGAATTAAGAAGAGTTGTGAAGAAAATCATCGAAGAAGCACAGAAATTCGGATTGGAACTAGATGAAGACAAAACCAAATATATGATCATGGAATGGACAGAAGGGAAAAAATAAGACTTTACTGTGAGGTCAGTAAGTAGTAAAAGCTAGTTTTAAAAGAATGGACAAATTTGAATACCTGGGTGTAGTTTTCGATGAAAATGGAAAAGAGAAATGGGAGCTCGAAGCCAGAATAGCAATAAAAAATTAGGTGGTTGAAGAGCCCTACTGAACTCAAAATACGTTTCTAGACAAGGTAAACTCAGAATATATAAAACAGTAATTCGACCCACAGTTACATATGCCAGTGAGACATGGATATTAAATAAGAAAAAAGAGGATACTCTGAAAAGATGGGAAAGAAAAATATTGAGACGCATATTCGGAGGACCGAAGACAGAAGATGGTTAGGAGAGAAGAACCAACAATGAATTAATGGCTGTATACAAAGAACCTACCATTACCAAGTTCGTCAAGACACAAATAATCAGATGGTTGGGACATGTGGAAATAATGGCAGCAAACAGAATGCCTAAACTAGTAATAACCAGAAAATTAATCGGCCCCAAAAGAAGAGGTAGACCCAGAACGAGGTGAATTAGTAAAGCAGAGGAAGACCTTAAATACGTGAAGGTGAGGGACTGGAAAATAAAAGCACAAAATAGAAGCGAATGGAGAAATATTGTACCCCAGGTCCTTCAGAGTAGTTATGTTAGAATGTTATATATATATATATATATATATTATATATATATATATATATATATTATATATATATATATATATATATATATATATATACAGGGTGGTCCTTAAGTAATTGTACAAAAAGAAACCACAGATTCTATACTTTAAAATATTACGATTTAAGCCAACTTGCTTTAATAAAATGTTGATATTAAAAAAGATACAGGGTGTTAAAGTGGAAATTTAGAATTTTATTTTTCGCTATAACTTTCATGTTTGTAAACATTTATATACAAAAATTTACAGCTGGGTACTATTTAACATCTGGAATTATAATTTGATGAATACTTTGATATATTTAATAGAGGGCGCCACATATGCCACATACGTGGCATAAATTTGCACCTAACTTTTTTGTTCTTTAAGTTACCGGTATTTAAAATAAAAAATATTAAAGATACGTTATTTTAACAAAAAAAAGGTATACTTGTTAATAACTTCAAAACTCAATAGTTTTGGAGATAATCGCATTTTACAAATCAACTGCATAATTCTGATTTAACGCAATTACTCCAGGCAATCAAAGAAAAATAGATAAAAACATCAATACTTCTGAATGTTGTTATAAAATACCTTAATAAACTCAATAATTAACGAAATATTAAATAAAATAAATATATCAGCAGGATAATTAATAATAGGATTTGATAAAATAACAGAATAATTGGATTTTACATCAAACATTTTATTTTAATTTGTATTAAATTAAAGTCATAATCAAAAAATTTTATTTACAAACCAAATTAAGAAATAGGTAAACTAAATAACATTAAACTTTTTGTCAAAGTAAGTGTTCACTATGTCCACCATTTTCTTTAATTCATTTGTCAATACATTCCATAAAATATCGTCTCATATTAAATAGCGTCATTGGTTCTAAAGAAACTGCTGCAGTATTTATTATAAGTGTTATAAGTATAATAATAAGTAATTTTTTGAAATGTTTATAAATTAAATAATTATATTAATATCTCACCACAAGAATATGACTACCATGAACAATACAACGTTCAGGAAAGTTTAAAGAAGTATTTAAATACTGTCTCACTCCGCTTTCTCTGTAATGTAATGGTGTACCATCTTGTAGAAACCACATAGTTCGCCTTAACTTTGATGACAATTCTTCCAATAAATCAATAAAATGATTTTGTAAAGAATATAAATAAATCTCACCATTCAAATTGAAAGGTAATTCGCATATCCGTAAAACATCATTCAAAATTGATATTTAAAATGCATGTCCTATGATTTGGAACCATTTGGAAAATTATTTTATTAATATATTGAAAGAATTATCATCAAATATAAGGCGAAATATGTGGTTTCTACAAGATGGTAAACCATTACATTACAGAGAAAGTGGAGTGAGACAGTATTTAAATACAACTTTCCTGAACGTTGGATTGTTCGTGGTAGTCATATTCTTGTAGTGAGATATTAATATAATTATTTAATTCATAAACATTTCAAAAAATTATTTATTATTATACTTATAACACTTATAATAAATACTGCAGCAGTTTCTTCAGAACCAATGACGCTATTTAATATGAGACGATATTTTATGGAATGTACTGACAAATGAATTAAAGAAAATGATGGACATAGTGAACACTTACTTTGACAAAAAGTTTAATTTTATTTACTTTAACTATTTCTTAATTTGGTTTGTAAATAAAATGTTTTGATTATGACTTTAATTTAATACAAAACGTAAAATGTTTGATGTAAAATCCAATTATTCTGTTATTTATCAAATCCTATTATTTTATTCTGTTGATATATTTATTTTATTAAATAATTCATTAACTATTAACTTTATTAAAGGTATATTATACCAAAATTCAGAAGTATTGATGTGTTTCTTTAATTTTCTTTCGTTGCCTGGAGTAATTGCGATAAATCAGAATTATGTAGTTGATTTCTAAATTGCGATTATCTCGAAAACTGTTGAGTTTTGAAGGTATTAACAAGTATACCTTTTTTTTGTTAAAATAACGTATCTTTAATATTTTTTACTAAAAATATCCTTAACTTAAAGAGCAAAAAAGTTACGTTTAAATGTATGCCACGTATGTGGCATATGTGGCGCCCTCTATCAGCTACATCAAAATATACATCAAATTTTCATTGCTTATATTTAATAGTACCCAGTTGTAAATTTTTATACATAAATGTTGATAAACATAAAAGTTAGAGCGAAAAATAAAATTTTAAATTTCCACTTTAACACCCTGTATCTTTCTTAATATCAACATTTTATTAAAGCAACTTGACTTAAATCGTTATATTTTAAAGTGTAGAATCTACGGTTTCTTTTTGTACAATTACTTAAGGACCACCCTGTATATATATATATACATATTTAAGTTAAAGTTTTGTTTAAAATAATTGTAATTAGTTAATATTAGGATTATGTTGTAAAAATAATGCCCTAGGCCTTAACGGCCTGTTGGGCGTAAAAATAAATAAATTATCTGCCAATAATTTAGATATAGGATGATCAAAAAACGTACTATTATGAGAAAATGCAGTTTTATCTACATTTACTCGTAACCTTTCACCTTCAAGTTTAAGTTTAAAATTGATAAAAAAATAAAATTTTTTGGTACCAATATCTTAAAAGTCGATTTATATCAACCTTATGCCAGTTTGCTTTCATAGTGACGATATGTAATTACATTTTACTGAAATTTAATTGATGAGCAATATTGTTTCATTTCGTTATATTTTTCAGTTGTACTATACAGTTAAGTTGTTAATTCAAACCATTATCATATTTCATTAATTTCAAATAACTTTTATTATTAAAAGAAAAAATAAGGAATCTTACCAGTCTATAGATCCCAGCATCCAATAAACCAAAGGAAAATAGGAAACTGCATCGAGAAAAGCTATATCCGGCCGCCTCTCCAATAGCAAAATAATGGGATTCAACGACGTTTTCGATCTGAAGTGGGCTCTCAACGGTATTATAAAGTTGTAGATGCCATTTGAAGCGTAATCAGCAGCCAGAATGATAGTTTTGTTCTGCCACTGGTAGTCCCGCGCGTTCCTATAGCTGCAATGTTCACACACTTGGGCGAGCTGCAGACAGCACAGTGGTTTTTTCTCTT